TTTTTATTAACACTTTGGGAAATTTTCATACTCATATTCCAAGAACTGGATTTTATACGAATTTTTAAAACTTAATCGGCGAAAATTGCAAAATTCGTAAAAATTGTCGACCATTTCAAAAATTTATTTCTCAAGAACTGAAAGTGATTTTTCAAAACAGCTTTTTGTATTAAAAAGAGGATACTTTAATTAATAATCGAAAGTGATGACAGCGACAGTTCTGTACGAAGAGAAGGAAACTAGACGAAACAGCAACAACTGTTACAATGATAAATGCTAATGATAAATAAAGTTGTATTTAATGAAATAAGTCCTATTGGGGTTGAACTTGATTATTATCTACAGTGCCCAACACCTAAAATATTTATTATCACTTTTAAACTTCCACACTTAGTATAACGCTTGGAGACTATTGTTTAGTAAGAATGACTTTTTCATTAATTTTTTTTAATACTCCTTTCATTTTCAGTTCATTGATTTAAATGTCTGAATGCATTTTTGTTGTGTTAGCATTATTCCTGTTTAAGCACCATCTACTAAGTACGAAATTTCCAGTAGGCAGAGTTTCTCTTACTTGTTCTTTTATGCTTGCACATCATTTCCAAAGTTTCGCCTCTTCAAAATAACCTACTGACATAAATGTATTAAGTCTTCTCCTTCTTGTACTTTTAAAGTTTTGAACTTATCTATTAATTTTATTAGAAAAAGACGTTTCTCCTTGGAAATTCAGTTAGAAGAACAGTACAAAAGACAGATAGAGCATTGATAAATCCAACAACATACGAATCCCGCGATTGTAACTTGTAAGAATGTTGTTTTACATAAACAATATTTATGTAATAAACGCTCGTTCACCTTGATTTTTTTTGGATCTCATTTTTAATTAATTCAATAATTTTATTATGATCTAACTAATTTAAAATATTACACAATTGATGTTGACGAAGTAATTAAACGAATTGAAATTGTTATAAAACGAGGATTTAAGTACACTTTGTGGTGTGTTACATATTAATAGTGATCTCCAATTAAATTATAGCACAAACTACATTGACTTAAATTAACAAAAATTATAATTCTTGACTATAAAATAATATAAAAAGTGATAAAATTAATTCAAACATTCAATGCAGGCAATTGTTGGCATCCCGGAGAACACTTCCAACAGCAAGTCATCACCCAATCCAAAATCCTGCTAGTTGCTACAAAAATAAAATACTCTCTATTTATAACAAAAACTAAACAAATTTACCGATTGAACACGCTGAAACTGTTTGTGGAGGTGTAAACAAATACGTCGACGATTCTAAACCGAAAAAAATAAATCACACTTCTCAAATAAAACCAATCAATTTCTTACTATTTTTATGCGATAAACACCGTTTTCCTTTTTCTACGGCGGGGATTTTATTGGGATCTTCAGTACTGCTACTACGCGTACAACACGATCCTGAAGATATCCTATTATCATTTTTATTCGTGGAGGATCCACTCGCGATAACATGCCAAGTAGATTCTTCCTCACAACTACTTTGTTCGTCTTCAGGATCGTACCATACCGCGGGACCTTTTTTAATAAAAACCACTTCTTTGTCGAGAAATTCGTGTACATCCACGCACGATATCGATGATTTACTCATTGCAGATCTTGGCGAATCAAAGGCTGGCGCGGATACGTCATCTCTTATTAAAAAACAACATCGATGGAAGAACATCGACTTCCGAAGATTGTGACACTTGACAGTGTAATTTTTGACATATTAAATTTTGACGTAATAAAATGACGTGGGAAAGAAATTTTTGTGATTATTAATTTATGTGAGATAATCTTTATTAATTAAAAAGAAATAATTATTAAAACTAAATTTTAAAATTTTTTATAACCCAAATCTAGCGGGAGTTCTTCTGGGTGTAGCCCCAGCAGAAATAATTTCTTGTCCTTTATTTAACGCGGCTTCCCGCTTTTCCGCCGCCTCTTTCCTCGCTTTCATCTCTTCTTGAGCAACTTGCATTTGATTTTCCATCTCTTGTAGATGTTCAGCTGCTTGTTTCTTTTTGGCCCTCCCCGATTTACCAGTTTCTTTAACTGAGAAAAACATTGGTCCTAACTCGGCCAACCAATGACCATCAACGGAAGTGACGCATTGCATGTATTCTCGAGCTGTCATCACTAATTCGTGGTACACGACGTAATCGGGGGTGTTTCCTAAACCGAATAACGCGGATGTTGGATGGAGATGACACGGCATTCCTGTTCGACAATTTACGTATTCTCCTATGCCTTTTAAACGAGCTGCTTGGTGGAAATAAGCTGTAAATAAATTATTTTAATTATGTAGGTAGTATTTAAGGGGGGTTTAATTTTGTACCTGAACAAATACATTTTCTTATTATGTCCCAATCGGTTCCGCATGAAGTTATTTCTAATTTTTGTTGAATGAGGATGTCTTTTAATTGTTGTCTTACCTCGCGCACTTTTCTCATTGCTTTAATATGGATGAAGTGCTCGTTACACCAATGTGATGAATAACTAGAAATTATTTTTATTAACCTTCAATCAAGCGCGCCCTATTTTATAGCACGAGCGGGCGCGGGTCATAAATTTTATGACTCAGGTCCGTATTAATAAGTATTACGTTAGCTTTAATAAAATAGTTAAAACACACATTTTGTTAAAGTAAAAATATTTAATTTATATTAAACAATTGTTAAAAACATAAAATGAAATCGATTTATGTTTTAAATCTAACAACATTTACAAACTACATACCGGGAATTTTATACAGGGTGTGGCAGAAAGAATGGGAAATCTAAATACCGGAGACACTAGATACCAATATATGACGATTTAACCTAACATCTCTTATACAAATGTCGGTCTACAGTGCCTACGTGTATCAACATGTCGCTAAAAAAACGTTTATCCCTTAAAGAAAAAATTGATATTATTGCAGTAATAGAGCTAGAAAGTTGGCTGAAAAGTTTGGGGTTGGAAGGATACAAGTGAACGACATTTTAAAAAATAAATCCCACTTTAAAGAGCTGTTTGGACCGAAGGACTGGCTATTGATCAAATAGTTTATAATTGGTTCTGTAAAGCGAAAAATAGAAACATCTCCATATCTGGACCTTTATTAAAAGAAAAAGCAATGGAAGCAGCCCAAAATTTGAAACTTTTGAGTTTTAAAGTTTCAAATGGATGGCTTGAAAAATTTTGTCGAAAACATGAAATAAGCTTTAAAACAGTTTGCGGTGAATCAGCTGATGTCGACCTGATCAGTGTTGAAGCATGGAAAACAAAGTTAAAATTGATATTGATGCACTACCTACCAAAAGATGTGTACAATGCTGACGAAACTGCACTCTTTTATCTTGCAATACCGAACAAAACGTTTGCTTTCAAAGGCGATAAATGTACGAGTAAAAAAAAAACCCAAACAGAGATTGCCAGTTTAATTTTGCGCAAACATGGAAGGAGGCTTTAACACGTTCGCTGCCGAGCGACTCCGTTAACCATGTTTAGATTTTTTTATGTTTGTTTTATGTTTAGATACGAGTTAACTCGTAGTCGGCAGCGAACGTATTAAAGAATCGCACATCAACAAACTTCCTTTAAAATGGGAGTGTACAGTGTGTTATGACTTCGTGGCTAAAACAATTTGATGAAAAGATGAGAAAGCAAAATAGAAAAGTACTCTTATTTCTGGATAACGCCACGTCCCACCCCAAACTTGCATTAGAACATGTAAAAATAGTGTTTCTACCTCCATACACTACTTCACATTGCTAGCCATTAGATCAAGGAATTATCAATAGCTTTAAGGTAGCTTACAGAAAATCCTTAATTAAAAGGATTTTAACATTTACAAACAACGAAAGTTGAAGAAGAAGCCGAAAAAAGTATCAATTTGACCAGTGCCTTAGTTTGGACAATAGCAGCTTGGAAAAATGTTTCTCCTCTTGATTCTAATGTATTAATTGAAAATCCCAATAAAGGCAATGATTCAAACAGTGAAAGTGATGTTGAAGTATCTGAAAGTTGTACGTCAAATATTAAGAACATGATTGAAGTATGTGCAAAACTAAGGGATGTACAAAGTTTTTTATTTTGTAACAACAAAGATGAACTAGCTGTAGAAATTAAAGATATTAGCAAAATGTGAATCTCAGGTGTTACAAACGAAAATTCAAAACTTAAAACAAACCTCTATTGAACAACATTTTAAGAAAATCATTATACTTATAATTTGCATTAAATGAAATGATCAACACGATTTATTTACTATTTACGACCACCTTCCTTTAACGGCCATTTTTCCAATAAATTTTTGTGGCCGCTATTAAGAGGTTTTACTGTAACTTTATTGTTGGTAAAAATGATTATTGCACATGGAAATTATCAAGTTTGACAATTAACAAGCAACTGTCGAAATATGAGCGGAAAAATAAGCCAACTTTGCTTATAACTAAGTTTCCACATGCACGGATTACTGGCGCCAGTTCACTTGCATGTGGAAATATCAAAAAACCACTGACGCCAATAAATTGGTGCCAGTAATCATAGCGCCAATAAAGTTGACGCTACTTCTACCTTTTGGCGCCAGTAACAGTATTTATAAAGAAAACGTGTAACTATTAACGTGTTCGTCCAACTAAAATAAACAAATCCGCTAATAAACCGTCCAAAAAATGGACATCAGAACAAACAGTACTTTTACTATAAACGTATGAACAATATCTTTGTTTGTGGAATCAGAAAATTCCATAATATAAAGACCGACTAGCACGAATTTTACCGAAACCTCGACAAAAGCAAAAACATTGTGCTTTTTGGTAAACGATACATACAGTGTGTCCCAGGATAGATGTTACAAGAGGTATAATGACATCAAAATTTTTGAAATTTATTATAAGGGTAAGGAATTAAGCCCTGCTTGGTGTGAAGAGAATTTTAAGAATATTTTCATATTTTCAAAACAAAGGCGGCCTTGACAATGAATCGAAAAGTATTTTTAGTTTAGGTAAAGTAATCTTTTTGTTCATGATACGGAAAAATGTTATTAAGAAAAGTTGTTCAAAATGAGAAATTATGGGCCTATACAAAATTTCAGAAAGATCTATCTACTTTGGTTGAACCATCACATTTTAGTTTAAATAACATAAATATTGTATATACAGGGTATCAAGTATGACTAGAAAAAATTTGAGGGGTTATAGGTCCCATTTTTGTGAATAAAAAATTCTTATAACACAATGTCCCATTCTTTGCCATTCTTAAGATATGACAAGATAAAGTTAAGGGTTTGAAAGTTTAAGTACTGCTGTATAAAGAATTATACTAAGCAGGCTTTGCTTATGTATATAGCTTTAATTTGACACATAAAAGTCATTTTTGTGATATTTAATAATTTTTTATAAACTTGTTTATTGTATTAAAAACAACAAAGTTACAAAACTAGAAACAAATTACAAATTGCAAAGCAAAGCCTGCTTAGTATAATTCATTAACCAGTAGTACTCAAACTTGTGAACCCTTAACTTTTATCGTATCTTATCTTAAGAAGGACAAAGAATGGGACATTGTGTTATAAGAATTTTTTATTCAGAAAGAGGAGACCTATAACCCCTCAATTTTTGTCTACTCATACCTGATACACCCTGTATAGTAATTGAAATGTGAACTAAAACTGAGGGATAATACAATTTATTTGTCAATATTTGCGACTATTTAAGTAATTTTTTTTTTACGTGACATTTTTCATTGTTTTTTTTTTTTTCTTCACTCTGATCTAATCAAAAATATGGTGGTTTGATCAATGTAGCTAGATCTTTCTGAAATTTTGCATAGTACCATAATTTCTCATTTTAAACAACTTTTCTTAATGACATTTTGCCGTATCATGAACAAAAAGCTTACTTTACCTGAACTAAAAATAGTTTTCGCCTCACTATCAAGGCCAACTTGATTTTCAAAATATAAAAATATACTTAAAATTCTTTCCACACCAAGCAGTGCTTAATTCCTCAGACTTAAAATAAAATTCAAAAATTTTTAAGTCATTATACCTCTTGTAACATCTATCCTGGGACACACTGTATATTGCAAGGATGTAAAAGAATCTCCAGAGGCCAAAAATCAGCAGCTTTACGTGAGCTGAAAGGGCATCTCTCATATCCGTATGTTGTTTTTGTATTTTAGAAGATGCTTGCCTCAACAAAAACATGAAACTCTCTTCAGTCATTTTTAAATGATTAAAAAATGCTTTCTGATCTTCATGGCATAATTCTCTAATTAAAGTACTAGACGCACTTAGGTTATTTCTATGTGCAATCCACGATCTAACCCAGCAACTATGTTTTCGCTTTTTTTTGTTAATAACGTGTGCAGTTCCGAGGAGCACATTTGGACTACCACATTGATGCCAGCGCGAAGTACTGTGCCAGTACACAATTATAACATTTATGTCGGAACAATTTCTGGCGCCACTAAACTGGCTTCGTACTGGCGCCACTAAACTGGCTTCGTACTGGCGCCAGTAATCCGTGCATGTGGAAACTTAGCTTATGTTAAAAAATAAAAATTTTAGAAGAAAAAATACATTTAAACATTTAAAAGTAAATAATTCGAATAAGAGTACCTTTTTTATGTAAAATTGAATGCTCCTTATGATTTGTAGCTCTAATTGGTCGTAGCTCAACAGTCAAAAAACTTATGATTTGATTTATCAGACGAGCAGTGTGTATCTAGCGCCCTCTACGAGCAATCACAAAACAAGTTTCAAATTCGTATTTCTCATGCTCGAAAACATAAAACTACCAAATTTTATGTTAATAGTACAAAAAGCTTCAAAATTATCAAGAAATTTCGAAATAAGAATTTAACTTTCATTGCCTCGAAAATCACTGACATTTGTATAAGAGTTGTTAGGTTAAATCATCATATTTTGGTGTCTAGTATCTCCGGTATTCGGATTTCCCATTCTTTCTGACTAACCCTGTATAACTCGCAATATATGAATGCAGTAACCATAGTTACGAAACTACAGTGCAATTGCACTGTCCCACATAAAATGCAGCATGCATAGCTTAATAATACAGGCAATGGGTAGTTTTGCAGAAGAAAAGTTTTGCTTGGAAAAAGGTGACGTCTTTATGACAATCTTGAGTTTTCGTCCGTCTTAAGATACGCACGGCTAAACCGGAATGTTTTTAATTCTGGGGCTAGTGATAGTTCTACTTTTCGTTCAATAAAAGTATCTCACGATGAAACGCTGAATAACAATTAAAACTAAAAACATTCAGGTTTAGCCGTGTGTCTCTCAAGACGCAGCTCTTCAAGCCCCGCAGCCCCCCCGTAGTCGGCGCCACTGTATGCAACATTGTGATATTTTATATTAACTAGCGCTACCTACCACTGTCACTAGAACTAACATTAGACCTAGAACTAGAAACATTCAGGTTTAGCCGTCTTAAGCCTTCTAGTTCTAGGTCTTGTGTTAGTTCCAGTGATAGTGCTAATGTAAAACTAGAACTAACACTAGACCAAGAACTAGAAACATTCGGATTTAGCCGCACGTCTCTCAAGACGGCTAAACCCGACTGATTCTAGTTCTAGGTCTTGTGTTAGTTGTAGTGATAGTGCTACTGTAGTGATAGTACTGAAGACGCACGGCTAAACCCGAAACTTTATAGTTCTAGGTCGTGTTAGTTCTAGTTTTAGTTCAATTAAAATATGCAACATAATGATATTTCATAAAGTCCCTAGATTTACAATGTACCACGCATAGATAAGATATAATATATTTGTTATATAGATGGGCAACTATAAACGTTTGATTGAAATGCGCAATTAGTTTTGGATACTGTCACCTACAACGCTGAAATCATTGGCAGGCGGGAAATGTAAATTAAATTTGTTATTTGAAAGGTTTATTGATGATTTTTTACGAAAACATTGCTTGGCGACAAAACTTTACAAACTGTGCAAAACTTTAAACACATTAACCTTTAGAGGACCGGGACCACCACTTAAGTGGTGGTCTATGTTATCAGTACTTTGTATATGATAAATATATCATATGAAGTACATTTTGTATCGATTTTCTTCAGACAATATGTTACCTAAAATCCCGGCCCGCTAAAGGTTAAATTTTGTCGTTTACAATGTTCTTTCAATGTCAAAAAACATGACTAGGTATTAAATTATTATAAACAGGGTTTATTAAAAAGTCTTTAAATGAATAACAAAGACTTTATCTTTAATTTTTTTATTATTATTTTTACCACATCGTTTCCTTTTAATTTTATTGCATTTATCCAATGCTGCTTCCGCATCAATCGAAGTGTACTTATTATAAAGCAACAACAATAAATCGCTTTTTCTTCAAATCGCTAGCAACTCTTCCACTGTACACAATACAACGCAATAAAAATATTATTATGTCAAACCTGGTCAAATCAGTCAAACTGACAACTCAAAAAATTGCTAAAATGGGTTCTGTAATCGAAAGCAACGCCATAAGTGACAGTATCCAGAATTAAACGTATGTTCCCAACTTCACTATACTCTGTTTTTAAACCAGGAGGAGTATTTTAAATTTGTCACCAGATTGGTTGAATGCGAGAAAGTTCACACACAGGCAATTTTGAATTTGAAGGTTAGGTTATTGACAATTCGACAGTTTCGTGTCATTATTGTAAATTTTGTGTTCTTAAACCCTTCTTTATTATATTTTGAAATAAATACACTCATAACTTCAATGTTAATTTGTATGTTTAGTGTTGACGATAACAAACGAAAATAAATACAATAATAAGTAAATAAATAAATAATAACAATTATTAATTTAAATTTACCGCCAAAATATCTAGTGATATTTTCTGGTGATTTTTCCTAGTGTAAATCTGACTTTCGCGTTTACTCCTCCTGGTTTAAAAACAGAGTATNCATTCATGCGCTACTATACTCTGTTTTTAAACCAGGAGGAGTAAACGCGAAAGTCAGATTTACACTAGGAAAAATCACCAGAAAATATCACTAGATATTTTGGCGGTAAATTTAAATTAATAATTATTATTATTTATTTATTTACTTATTATTGTGAAATTTGTTGTGAACGACTATTAGGGTCACGATCCATACCATGTTCTAAAAAGAACAGATTTCACTCAATTAAATTGAAGATGCAAAAGGGTTTAAACAAAATTTACAACAATGACACGAAACTGTCGAATTATCAATAACCTAACATTCAAATTCAAAATTCAAAATTGCCTGTGTGTGAACCTTCCTCGCATTCAACCCAATCACGTGCAAGGTCAATCTGATGACAAATTTAAAATACTCCTCCTGGTTTAAAAACAGTGTATAGCGCTACCTACCACTGCCACTAGAACTAACATTAGACTTAGAACTAGAACTAGAAACATTCAGGTTTAGCCGTCTTAAGCCTTTAAAAATATATTGAATATTTCCATAAACTTACGAAAAACCGAAAAGATTGAAATATTAAAAAGATGAAAAAAATTTCGATTCCGACAAAGTTGTCATTACGGACCTGTATTTTTCAAAAATGTGCAAACTATCCGAAACCTTCATGTATGACTCAAAACCCTGTTTATAATACATTTATATCCCTTAATATATCCCATAATATAAATACGACCTTATAAATCAGCAATTAATGTGTAAATCTTTTGTCTTTTATAACTTTTTTTGCCATAAAGATGTCAATATATTTTTTTAACATTTTCTTTTCATCATGTTCTAAATACATAGTTACATGAATACTTTGGCGTTAAATCCTTTCAAATGCATAATATAAGGAGATATATTATAAAAACGAAAAGTGTCATAAATTTTAAGACGGCGCGCCCGCTCGAAGGTTAATCAACTAAATTCACCTCAGAAACTACTTAATAATACTTACTTATTTTGTTTCCATTGATTATAAACGTTCAAATATGTCAAATGATCACTTTCAGGCACTTGAAATTTT